GGAGGAAAACAAGAACCGAGATTATAAACGAAAAACAATGTATCAACTACACTCAAGAAAAAACCTAATAACAAAATAAAGCCATACTCACACAATAAATGGTACCGAGAGTTCAAAAGTGAAAATGACGAGATCTATAGCAAAGAGTCTTTGAGCAAGGAAGCACCAAGGCATGAACAATACTCCGACAACCAGCAGACAGATTGCGTCCTTAAATACACAGTTCCTTAATTGAAAGATTGGCAGTAGGTGTGCAGCCAGAAAGTCCGCTCAGTCTGCCACCTGCTGGCCAGGCCAAGAACAGGAACATGACAAAAAAAAACCTTATATAAATGGTCGTTTTTCTCGGCTAAAAACGCCTTACTATACATGGTTGTTTTTTTCGCCTAAAGACGCCTTACTATACATGTTCGTTTTTTTCGTCTAAAAACGCCTTACTATACATGGTCGTTTTTTCGGCTAAAAACGCCTTCCTATACGTGGTCGTTTTTTTCGGCTAAAAACGCCTTACTTTACATGGTCGTTTTTTTCGGCTAAAAACGCCTTCCTATACGTGGTCGTTTTTTTCGGCTAAAAACGCCTTACTTTACATGGTCGTTTTTTTCGGCTAAAAACGCCTTCCTATACGTGGTCGTTTTTTTCGGCTAAAAACGCCTTACTTTACATGGTCGTTTTTTTCGGCTAAAAACGCCTTCCTATACGTGGTCGTTTTTTTCGGCTAAAAACGCCTTACTTTACATGGTCGTTTTTTTCGGCTAAAAACGCCTTCCTATACGTGGTCGTTTTTTTCGGCTAAAAACGCCTTACTTTACATGGTCGTTTTTTTCGGCTAAAAACGCCTTCCTATACGTGGTCGTTTTTTTCGGCTAAAAACGCCTTACTTTACATGGTCGTTTTTTTCGGCTAAAAACGCCTTCCTATACGTGGTCGTTTTTTTCGGCTAAAAACGCCTTACTTTACATGGTCGTTTTTTTCGGCTAAAAACGCCTTCCTATACGTGGTCGTTTTTTTCGGCTAAAAACGCCTTACTTTACATGGTCGTTTTTTTCGGCTAAAAACGCCTTCCTATACGTGGTCGTTTTTTTCGGCTAAAAACGCCTTACTTTACATGGTCGTTTTTTTCGGCTAAAAACGCCTTCCTATACGTGGTCGTTTTTTTCGGCTAAAAACGCCTTACTTTACATGGTCGTTTTTTTCGGCTAAAAACGCCTTCCTATACGTGGTCGTTTTTTTCGGCTAAAAACGCCTTACTTTACATGGTCGTTTTTTTCGGCTAAAAACGCCTTCCTATACGTGGTCGTTTTTTTCGGCTAAAAACGCCTTACTTTACATGGTCGTTTTTTTCGGCTAAAAACGCCTTCCTATACGTGGTCGTTTTTTTCGGCTAAAAACGCCTTACTTTACATGGTCGTTTTTTTCGGCTAAAAACGCCTTCCTATACGTGGTCGTTTTTTTCGGCTAAAAACGCCTTACTTTACATGGTCGTTTTTTTCGGCTAAAAACGCCTTCCTATACGTGGTCGTTTTTTTCGGCTAAAAACGCCTTACTTTACATGGTCGTTTTTTTCGGCTAAAAACGCCTTCCTATACGTGGTCGTTTTTTTCGGCTAAAAACGCCTTACTTTACATGGTCGTTTTTTTCGGCTAAAAACGCCTTCCTATACGTGGTCGTTTTTTTCGGCTAAAAACGCCTTACTTTACATGGTCGTTTTTTTCGGCTAAAAACGCCTTCCTATACGTGGTCGTTTTTTTCGGCTAAAAACGCCTTACTTTACATGGTCGTTTTTTTCGGCTAAAAACGCCTTCCTATACGTGGTCGTTTTTTTCGGCTAAAAACGCCTTACTTTACATGGTCGTTTTTTTCGGCTAAAAACGCCTTCCTATACGTGGTCGTTTTTTTCGGCTAAAAACGCCTTACTTTACATGGTCGTTTTTTTCGGCTAAAAACGCCTTCCTATACGTGGTCGTTTTTTTCGGCTAAAAACGCCTTACTTTACATGGTCGTTTTTTTCGGCTAAAAACGCCTTCCTATACGTGGTCGTTTTTTTCGGCTAAAAACGCCTTACTTTACATGGTCGTTTTTTTCGGCTAAAAACGCCTTCCTATACGTGGTCGTTTTTTTCGGCTAAAAACGCCTTACTTTACATGGTCGTTTTTTTCGGCTAAAAACGCCTTCCTATACGTGGTCGTTTTTTTCGGCTAAAAACGCCTTACTTTACATGGTCGTTTTTTTCGGCTAAAAACGCCTTCCTATACGTGGTCGTTTTTTTCGGCTAAAAACGCCTTACTTTACATGGTCGTTTTTTTCGGCTAAAAACGCCTTCCTATACGTGGTCGTTTTTTTCGGCTAAAAACGCCTTACTTTACATGGTCGTTTTTTTCGGCTAAAAACGCCTTCCTATACGTGGTCGTTTTTTTCGGCTAAAAACGCCTTACTTTACATGGTCGTTTTTTTCGGCTAAAAACGCCTTCCTATACGTGGTCGTTTTTTTCGGCTAAAAACGCCTTACTTTACATGGTCGTTTTTTTCGGCTAAAAACGCCTTCCTATACGTGGTCGTTTTTTTCGGCTAAAAACGCCTTACTTTACATGGTCGTTTTTTTCGGCTAAAAACGCCTTCCTATACGTGGTCGTTTTTTTCGGCTAAAAACGCCTTACTTTACATGGTCGTTTTTTTCGGCTAAAAACGCCTTCCTATACGTGGTCGTTTTTTTCGGCTAAAAACGCCTTACTTTACATGGTCGTTTTTTTCGGCTAAAAACGCCTTCCTATACGTGGTCGTTTTTTTCGGCTAAAAACGCCTTACTTTACATGGTCGTTTTTTTCGGCTAAAAACGCCTTCCTATACGTGGTCGTTTTTTTCGGCTAAAAACGCCTTACTTTACATGGTCGTTTTTTTCGGCTAAAAACGCCTTCCTATACGTGGTCGTTTTTTTCGGCTAAAAACGCCTTACTTTACATGGTCGTTTTTTTCGGCTAAAAACGCCTTCCTATACGTGGTCGTTTTTTTCGGCTAAAAACGCCTTACTTTACATGGTCGTTTTTTTCGGCTAAAAACGCCTTCCTATACGTGGTCGTTTTTTTCGGCTAAAAACGCCTTACTTTACATGGTCGTTTTTTTCGGCTAAAAACGCCTTCCTATACGTGGTCGTTTTTTTCGGCTAAAAACGCCTTACTTTACATGGTCGTTTTTTTCGGCTAAAAACGCCTTCCTATACGTGGTCGTTTTTTTCGGCTAAAAACGCCTTACTTTACATGGTCGTTTTTTTCGGCTAAAAACGCCTTCCTATACGTGGTCGTTTTTTTCGGCTAAAAACGCCTTACTTTACATGGTCGTTTTTTTCGGCTAAAAACGCCTTCCTATACGTGGTCGTTTTTTTCGGCTAAAAACGCCTTACTTTACATGGTCGTTTTTTTCGGCTAAAAACGCCTTCCTATACATGGTCGTTTTTTTCGGCTAAAAACGCCTTACTATACATGGTCGTTTTTTTCGGCTCAAAATGCCTTGTATCTTAGGGGTTTGGTCTTATCGTACACCTCTAATTTGCTTTCACAATTTCTGTTTGAGTTTCATACTTGCCTAATGCAATTGTTTAGCTTCCAGCTTGTGTCTTTGTCATTTTCATTATTTCCTAAAAATTCAATGGTCAAAGACTGGGGGAAATTACATTACGCATGCTCTTAACGGAGCGTCTCAAAAAATTATTTCACCAAGGCATCTTTTCGCTGAGCCGGTGTTCATTTGAATGCCGGGCTCACACACATGCGCACGCACACACCATGGCGAGAAACCATCTCCTTCCCCAAAGGCATCCCCAGCCACTTCTCTGAATAATTCACAGAATCGCGTTTGTCCATCGATCCCTCCTATGCACACGCAGACAGATGGAGCAGCGAACGCGGGGACATGCGCAACATAGGAGGCGGCTTCATCACCATTCAGCACCACGCTAACTTTTACCTCCGCTTCCAGCTTGAGCAGCGCTGCAGCTGTTGCCACAGCGTTTGTTCCATGTTCACGGGCACCAATTAATGCATGCTCAAAAAGGGACTTTCACAACAGAGCCCTGAAAAATGAAAGCCACTGTCCCTTTGAAGGTATTCCCAAGCACGCCGCACCCCCGCAAGCGCGCATTCGCCGACTCTCATCTCGGCACGGCTGCGGCTTGACCTTTCTCTTGCCATCATTATTGCCTTCCTCATACTCAAACGGCACACGTTATACCTACGTTCCACCGGGATGATTTTGTGCATCCTGGGGTTTGTCATGTGACCCCCCCCCCCCTTGCAGGAAAACACATTATTTTCGAGAGAATGATACATTTTGAATTTGAAATCAATTTCAAGATGTCATTTTATTTTTATTTTTTTGCATGGATGATTCTCAGTGACAACTCACCATATTACAGTACGGTACAACAACTGCAGACAATGCTCGTTATATATGTCAAAAAGTCCCAACAGACGTTTACATGACTATTAAACATTAGGCAAAGAAAAGAGAGCGTGAGACCAGCGGTCAACGTTTGTTCTGATTCTTCGGTCGAGTAAGTCTCAATGTACCCTGACACCACATTTCCCGCCCCCACTTTCAATACGATAAACAAATTGGTGACAGAGAGGCAAAAGTTTGGCATATGTATATTGCATTTAACAGTACATTACAAACAAATGTACAACGTCATCAGGTAAACTGTTGTTGCGTGTGAAGGGACAGTCAATGTCGGAGCGTTTCCATTCTACGAGGAGTACTCGTACTCCTCAGCGCTGCGCCGTCCAAAGTCCATCCAGCCCATGTAGTCCCTGTCCGCTATCCGGTGGTTGGCGCCGCTCGGGCCGCCGCCTCTGCTGTTGGGTGACAAGTTCCGACGCACCGAACCTGCGGGACGGCACAAATGCAGGTCTGATCAACATTTTGTCGGATTTGAGGAGAAAACGTCCTTTCGAAGCCATTTCTGCTAATGCGATCGGGAACCTTTCACTGGAGTTCATTACAGAGCGCTAATGCGCACATGAGAGCCCTCGGCATCAATCACGCTGATGTCATTGCTGAAACTTGACTCCCCCCAAACTGATTGTCGCTTCTTGCAGCTCTCTGTCATCTTTAGCTGGCTGGCCACAAAGCAGTCACAACATTAGGTACACTGTTTCCCGAGGACGGCCGTTTCGGGCCTCGGCGGGGCAATGCAAATTCTCTGACAATCATTTGACGCATTTATCCAAGAAATGCTCATGATTACACTCTGAGGCCGTGCTTTCTCTAGTTCACTTTTTCTTGGATTTTTTTTTTTTTTTTTTGTAGGTGGAATGTCATTCAACTACCTATTCGCTGATTCAAAGTGTGTTGAGGAGCTTCAATGTAAAAAGCCCTCGGTTGTTCACTCTCCGCTCACTGTGGATATCAGCCGCCCTCTCCGTTCTGGCAGTTTCATTGACTCCTTCGTTCCCAAAGTCGGGACTCGCATTTTTCGGTCGGTCCTCTTTTCAGTTGTGACGTGACAAAAAAGTGGGACACTCGGGAAAAAAATAACGGGAGCCAAATGTGTTTCTTATTGTGTCTAAAGGAGTACGCCGCATCATGCCGCAAAGTACTGTTGCAGCCCTCTCATTTGGGTGAGCCAAAAATTCGCAACGCGTTCCATTCACCGCACTGCACTCCACGGTCTGGATTGCCAACCGGTATGCTCCAGAAATGCATCCAATTTCACTTCAGTGGAGCCACATCTCAGACCAATGACACGTTCTTCCACTTCCACATTTTACCCGCGCGTGGACTCTTTGTGGCATTCTTCCGACGGTGTGTTTTCTCAAGTCAGACGTGTGACGTGGCGCACAACTCACCGAGGTGTTCTTAATATTGTGGCCCGCGAGTCCAACGAAAAGTTTCTCTCCTGCTCCCGTAATATTTCTTTTTTTTTTTTTGTTATCGCGATTGAAGTCAAGCAGCATTTCTGCGGACGGAGATGTTCTGCTCCCCCGCCCACCCACCCACGCAACACACACACACACACACACACACACACGAAGCACAACCTTTCAAGTTCCCTGGTGTGCTGAGAAAATTGGCTGCAGAAGGCTCGACAACGACACCTCCCACACCGAAAACATGCAAAGTGAACAGCGAGGAACACGACTCCCCGCGCGCGCGCACACGCACGCCAGCGCACATTGCCAGAGGACTCGCTTCTCCTTGTGACCTTTGCCACGTTGAGCCCTTTGTCTCAAAGCGAGGAGAAGGAGTGATCGATCGCAAGAGTGAAGGAGAAAAATACTCAAAGCCCATCTTGGGAAAATGTCTGGTACATTTCCATGAGATTTTAACAATTGTGGATCGAATCCGAATTGGAAACTGGGGAAGAGGGGAGCTCTCCTTGTCCATATGATGCAAGGGCATCCATCCTACGAAGAGTGACAAAAATCGAGCAAGTGACGGCTCGTCACTCAAAAATCCGCACTTTTAGGCGAAGGTGTCAGAGTACTTGCAATCTGAAATCTCTTGCCTTACCCTAACTTTTCTAAATTCCTGTTGAATTGTTGTTTCTTCCCATGCATTGAGCTCCATTCCCACTGGAACATTTCCACCAATCCTATTCCGGCATGACGAATTAAAGCAGCAAACAAACGTGGCCATCAAGGAGGCAATCATTTGACCCTCTTGGAATGAGGACACACTGTCTCCTCTGATATCTGGCAGGCTTCATGACAAGTGTGTCAAAGACCATCTTACCCCCCCCC